CTTATAGTCCCAGAGACGGCTGCAGAGAATCTGTCGTCATAAGGTGGACGAACGAAAATAATATGAATATTAGTTGAGGCACTAATTAAGAGAATACGCGAAGGTTGCCTGCGAAAATCCTGCCGAAACAGTGTTTTTCAATTTTTTTTATTAGATAAATAATTACACGGAGCGCGAGGTGTTTAGAGGCGAAAAAGTCGTCTACAAAACACCGAAACGAGTTTTTATTTTTGCTCCTTGTCACTTTGTGTTACTTCTCATATTTAAATTATTGATAAGGATCTATAAAACAACACGTCAGGATCTAACACAACGCGCCGCGCGCGTGCTTTTTGCGAAGCCAGGCCTAGGAATTCCACCCTCTGGCCGCTACGGCTACCACCGCAAGTGCAGTATCCAGACGTAGAAGTCGTCGAGCTTTCATCTCCGATTTTTTTTTTTATAAACGTGAAATTCGTGCTTGTTTTAAGATAAATTGTTTTCTTTGTAGGAAAGGCAATGGAGTTGTTCAGCAATTTTCTAATGCAGCGTTGAAAAAGTGCATAAATTTTATTGCTTATCGTCGTGAGAAGAATTTCAAATACAAATATTGTGAAGGACTGCTTTTGTAATTTTTTTTTACTTGCAAGTTTCCTATTGACAGGTTTGTTTACAGAATCGTGACGTCAAAAAAGGTAGCCATCATGGAAGCATTGTTTTAGCGGGAAATTTTTTATTTCAAATTGAGTATTATTTTTTGTGTAACAAGAGCGGTATCAGTTAAATAAAAACTGGTCATATAAATATTGTGCAGTATACATTATCGATTTAAAACAAATTTGGAAAATTTTAGTTCACTTGCAAGTTCCCTACTGTTTTCAGTGGTTAAATTCCCAGAGAAGAGAAAACCGGTCAGCAAAAATCTGTCATTAGCTGACCATCTATTATTCATCGATAGACTATCAAAATTTATATTTTGAAATTTAGTTAGGAAATGTCATCTTTTTGACATTGACTTTAGTTGTCAAAAGTTGTTCATTTTAGCCGCTTTCCAGTGCCTAAATTGTTAGAGTATCATGCTCCTGAAGTGTGACGCTCTTGAACTGCTCGACATAAGCGGCACTGGAACGCTCTCGTCTTAACCCCCACCATTTCGGATTTCAGGAGCATGAAACACTGACAAAAGGGTTGGTGCACGAGGGGGCAGGGGATAACAGAAATGAGTAGCTCAAGTGTACGACACTCTAAGCACTGGAACGCGCAAAGCAATTGTGGAGCACTCCTGAGCTGCTCAGGAGTAACTAATGGGTCACTGGAAAGCACCTATTAACACACACGCCAAAATAAGCAGGTGTTCTAATACAGTGTTAAAATGAGATCTCATTTCATCCCTGAGTGTTGGAATAGGATTTAGAGTGCGTTCCGCGTGAGTGTTAAGATGAGTTTATAATGGCCGTTTCCACCAACTATTTTAGGGGAGCCCTAACGATAAGTATTCCCTAAACTGACATTTTTCCACATAAAAATGAAATGTCATTTAAGGGAATACTTATCGTTAAGGCTCCCCTAAAATAGTTGGTAGAAACGGCCATAAGTATTTTGAATTTTAAATATTTTGAATGAATCACAAAAAATACTGTATGAAACACGTCGCAATGCTGGTTTTTTGCACGTAATGTGTTGGACCAATCTTCACATGAAGCTTTTGGCAGTTGTGAAAATTATGGCTTTTTAAAAAGGAACTGTCTAGAGTCCCGAACGCGGTATCGCTAGAAAAACGCAAAATCCCGAAGAGGCGTGGCTCAATAATGCCGTTCGGGACTTTCCAAAAATATTTCTAATCCCGACTTCGGGAACATGGCAAGAAAAGTAAAATCCCGAATGCGTAATAATTGTTTATGTATTATTTGTTTATCCTATACACCTAGGTTAGATTAGCCAACTGCTCTGTGTTGTATCCTTTATTGTGGGGTTAAATACAAATGACAAATTTTATTCATATAAAGAATTACAAGATGCTATTGATTTATATGAGAAAGAAAATAGGGTGCAATTTTGAAAACGGGATGCAAAAACTATCACATCCGCGAAGCATCATGCCCCAAGACAGTTAAAGATAAACCTAGACCTGATATAAGATGAAATTATCAAATAATCCCTAATCATGAACAAGTCGTTGTTGATACCACTATCGAGACTTATGAGATTCCGGACTATGATGAACAATCGAAAGCAGCAGTCCGAAAATTTTGAAATAATCCCTAATCATGAACAAGTTTTCGTTGATAACCCTATCGAAAATATGAGATCCACATGAACTATGATGAACAAGATCATCAGCCCTGTTGATACGTACCCCTATTGAAACTTATGAGGCATCAAGCAGGCAGAAAGGATAAACAAGATCAACAGTTAGGAAGAGAAGGAGAAATAAAATACGACACAAAATACACAGCGATCGGCAAGGGCAAACCCCTTTGAAAACATTTTTTTTACCAGTAAGTGTTAATTTATTGTTATTAGTATATATTTGCAATTCAATGAAAACAAACTTCAGAACCCTATTAAAAGTCGAGGCAGACCTAGAGGCAAGAATTTAACATTTAACGGCCATAGGCCTCAGGCCTGCCACCTAAAAAGAACAAAAGATCTACAAAATGAGATGTCAAAGTTTCTATTTCATTTTGTTTACCTATACTAGAAATACACCATATTTGTTTTTTGCTACTTCCATGTTTTTCTATTAATTGTCTGATAAAATTATAAGTCGGGAGTTTACTTCTGTTAGAACAGTCCCGAGGTCGGGATTCGAATAATTTTTGGAAAGTCCCGAACGCCGTTAACCACGCCTCTTCGGGATTTTGCTTTTTTCTAGCGATCCCGCGTTCGGGACTCTAGACAGTTCCTTTTAAAAATTAGGTTTAACTATTTTTAAATTTTGAAATGTAGGAATATATGCAACTTGAACGTACTTTAATAAACGTTTCTTGTCAAAAAAGCTCATGCTTTTTTTTTTAAGCAACGAATCAACATCTACCCCTCAACCCCCCCACCCCATCATGGACCTGAATTCCTCTTGATATCAAACTATGCTTTTCATGACGTTTTGTTTTATAGATCCTTATCGATAATTTAAATGTTAGAAGTAACGCAAAGTGACAAGGAGCAAAAATAAAAACTCGACAGACTTTTTCGCCACTAAACACCTCACGCTCCGCAAATACCTAGCGCGCGGCGCACGTACCGGAAACTTTAAAAACGAGGCAACCACATCTTTCGGCAGGATTTGAGCAGGCAGCCTTAGTTTGATGGAAAGAGGAGATCGAGACCTTTAATTTGAGACCTAATTTATGCGTCTGATGCCTGATGACGATAGTTATTGATAAAAAACCGATCTTTTTAGCCAGGCTGCAAGGGTGTTGCGGCAGGGTGGGGGCAGGCAGCCTTATATGGTTGAATTCGCTTCACGCTCCCCTACAACATGGTGATTTCATTTCATGTCCACCTCTAAAAGATAGTTACTGTAATTATTCATCTAATGAAAAAATTTGAAAAAGACTGTTTCGGCAGGATTTTCGCAGGCAACCTTCGCGTATTCTCTTAATTAGTGCCTCAACTAATATTCATATTTTTTTCGCTCGTCCACCTTATGACGACAGATTCTCTGCAGCCGTCTCTCGTACTATTAGGAAACTAACCCAATCTGGCTTACTTTAACTTAAACTGCCCCTCCCTTCCAAAAGGTCTGTATCCGCTCCTGACAGTATGTCGATAAAACAATAATTGGATTGAAAGTCCTTGGATTGAAACATATTAATGGCCATTTGCACCGACCATTTTAAGGGAGGTTTAACGATAATCAATGTTTAAAGTAACGTTTTTACATGTCAAACTGTCACTTTAAACGTTGACAAGAATATAATATATACTAGTATATTATACTAGTAGGTAGTACCTACTTAATTCTAATTTTTAAACGATATTTGTCGTCCGTTTATTCAAGGTGTTTTTTTTTCGAAACGATAATGCGACCACTCCAAGTAATTATTAGCTGTTTTGATAAGAATTTTTTTTTTGAGGTTAGAGTTTACGATTGATTGATGGTAATTCATTCAATTCGCAGTGTGGATGAATCAGTTTTCTTGGTAGTAAATAAGTGATTTTTTTCTGTCACAATATTTATTGTTAGTGAAAAATAATGTTAACAAAGACCTAAGAGTTAGTGGGTACATAATAAAACTAAAATGAGGGTATAAATAAACTGCACGAAATAGAAGAAATAATAATTAGCAATAAATCTCCTGCCACCTAATCTAATCAGGACAAAATAAAATTTTCTGATAATACCTAGATCAGACTTTTGTTTTGTTTGAAGTAAATTGCTTATGATAATTAGTCAAGACACTCATACAGTCACAGACGATATTATTATTACAAAGATTAAATGACAAGATAAGTTGGCAAAAGCAAAAGAATAGTATCATAATGACTGACGTAGTTGATGTACTGACGTGAATATAGTCACAAGTCTTAACTTTTTGGAACTTAGCTAATTATTAAAATAGTTATATTTCAACACAATAACAGGTCGCTGTGCGGTGAGGTGTGAGGTAAATCTAACCAGTATATTATCTAATCTTATCTTTCAACTAACGATAACGACTTCCTTCATTAGAAAAATAAGCCAGCGCGATGTAACAATGCCAAGTAAAAAAATTAGAATTACTAAAAATAAAATAAAAGCTCACAACAAACAATTCGCGTGAATCAATAATGACCTCAAAAAAAATTACGCTTGACAAAAACAGCTATAATTACTTGAGTTTATCGCATTATCGTTCCGAAAAAAAAAAAATATCTTGAATGAGGCTACAAATATTTATTGTTTGAAATTCTAGATATCTAAATACTAGTATAACATACTTTGTCCTCGTTATTTTTCATGCTTCCATGAACCGGAAATGGATTATGTAATGCAGTACAAAACTAATAACATCTGTTATCACATTTTTAATAGGGTACTTAATACAGTATACCTACTCAAGTAATTTTTTTTGTATATTATCAACTGCATAAAATAGGTAGGTAGGTAGTACCAAAAAATTGCAATTTCCTCTTATCAAATAGTTATTTGAAAATACGAGAAATTATCCATCTTTTCCGCGTTATAGTTAGAAATAGGTATAGCGATTTCAATATTCTGTCTTCGTTATATTTTAATTGGAGCATTATTTTCCATGCTTCTATAAACACCTCGAATCGAACACATTACTAAATTAGTAGATATTGCTAGTAATAAAATAAAACTAACAATCTCCTAAACAACGATCCTACAATATCGCATTATCGCAACGAAAACATGTTTATCTCAAAATAAAATATCGCCTATGCACAGAATAAATACCTAATATTATATTCAAGGTCGCTGAGGGGGACCACTCGCCACAGCTATAAAATTAACGCTTAGCTAAGCGAGGACATGATAGAGAGAGAAAGACGATCAAACAGCTTAAAAATATCATGCACTCTCCCCGCCTGAGCTCCATTTCCGATACGCTTTCTCGCTCTCTCGCCTATCAGGGGCCCCGCGTCTCGCCTCTCGTCCCGCTGTTGCTAGGCGAAATTCCGAGCTCGGGTTTTTCAGTCTGAACAAAGGCCCGATGGTTTCGATGGTTCGCTTTGCGCTGGCAACCATATTCCGTGAGCCCCTCTCGTCTCTCGTCACTCGACACTCGAGCGGTTTGCCCCCTAAACTCTCGTCCGCATGCGGACTGCGGGTATACCTCCTAGTCAGTATTATTCCGTGAACGTTGCCTTGCGTTGCTGAGCGTGATTTCACTTGCGATACTTTCTAGGATATTTTTTTCATCGCGACCGGTTATTTTTATTCAATTTCAACGTGTTATATACTTATCGTTAATTGAAATTATCGTTGACCGGATTTGGACTAGTTAATATTTTTGACAGCAGGTTCAGCCATGCTTGTGAGTTGAAAATGTAGTTTATTGTTGCGCAAGTTTAAATGTCATGTTGATGATGATTGGAACGTCAATCAATTGAGGGGTATTTCTTTGCCCTCTCCCTATATTGAAATCAACATTACCTAAACTTGCATGCTTCATCATTTGTATACTATACTATTGCTAGCATGGATTTTACGATTTTGACGTTGTTTATGCATTTTTTAGGCTGAAAATGAATCGGGAGGATTTCGATGAGGGTCCTGCAGCTAACACATATAATGGTAGGTCCTTTATTTTTCTTTTTGACTGTCCCTATATTGCACCGCATCTACAGGTTGGACCTGAGTAATCTTTTTGTGTGGTTTGATTTGAAAGTATTGAGAAAAGAACCACTTTGTAGATTTAAGTTTGGAAATATTTAAATACATAGCGCGAGTATTCGAAATTGTTAAGTTTTATTTAGGGGAAATTTTTCTGACTGATCTCACAGCCAATTAAATTTGTTTACTTGTGTCATGTGACAGAAATCGGCCGATCATTTCAACTTTACACTATTTTTTTTTTGACAGAGTTCTAACGTCCAATTTCAAATCATAAAATCATTATAATACCAAAATGTAATGATCACAATACCAAATGTAATGATTATAAATTGTTACACAAATTTAAAGTACCTTATGTATATAGGCATAATTATTTTAGTTATTACAGAAAGCAATTCTTTACTAATTTCTAGGAAGCTCTGGCCTCGAAAATATTAAGAACATTATTAGTAGTATTATTAGTACCTATTAGATAATTGTTTAAATCTAATAAACTTGAATCAAATCTAATTTTATTATAAAAACGAGAGTAGATATTATTGAATATTAACTTGGATTTTTACTAGATTTTTTTATGGTTCAAATTCCAAAGAAATTATTGACCAAATAAGCATCAGGAATCCAATACTAATTCCTAATTACAAAGTAGGCATTACCAACAAAATAACAACACAAGCAGTGATAATAATAGGTTTGTTCGGACTTGGTTCAGAATCAGTTCTGAATTGAACTGCGCTTGCGCATCTGTTCATATCGAACATACCTAAATAAATAAATGGGCATGCGCAGCTCAATTCAGAACTGATTCTGAACTAAGTCCGAACAAACCTAATATTAGATTAAGTTGCACTTACAACGACCCTAAAAAGTATGGTATTAAAATAAAAAAATATTAGGCCTACATAAAATAACCACAAATCTATAATACAAACTAAAGAGAAACGAATATAAAATACACACAAGACAAAATTAAAACAGACAGACATAAAGATAAAAATAGAAGTTTAATAAAAATTAATAAAGGCAGAAAAACTTTTTAAAAAAATTGCGAACTTTTATAAAATGAAAAAAAAACATATATAAACTAGACTAGGGATAGAATTCTTGTAGGCTGTAGCAAAGTTTTCTTGACTAGGAGGAACTTTTTTAGTTTATGTACGTCGAAAAGCAGAATTAAGCAATCCAAACCACGTGACATTTAAGATCGCGTGGCGGCCACACATGGGCCAAGAAACACAAAAAAATATCTAGTTTGTGCCCGATTTAATAGTTTAGGTACCTACCTATAGTTAACAAATATTTTATTAAATAATTAAAATCAAAGTTGTAAGCAAAACTCTAAGCAAAATAATTTAAAATATCATATTCAAAACAAACTTGCTTGGCCGCCACGCGATATTGAATTTTCCTTTTTGACAGATGGATTGGATTGCTTGATTTGTATTTTTTATCTTAGTAGGCAGTTTATTTAAGACCTTAAACCTCGCCTTAAACTGAGATTAAAGTTAAGTAATACCTAAATATAATTCAATTTTTTTAACAAATAACCTACCTACCTATATCTTTGAATATTTTTCAAACTTTCAGGTATTCCGTTGGTCGGGTAATCGGATTGTTTAAACCCGTAGGTATTTGTTCTTGTGATAGTTTTGATGAATATTATTTTCACTTCTAGTTCTATGATTATAGTAAATGTTTGTTTTGAGACATTATATTATAGGTAATACTTATGTATTATATCTTTGGTTTAATTGTTTATAACTTTTTATAATATTTAATTTGTTTTATTTCTAAAATTGCTCGTAGCTTTTGGGACATTCAACTCCTCTAGTGTTTTAGTAGGTATTTGTATTATGTTTGTATTTGTACCAAGATTGGTAACAAATATCTAAAAATACCTAACATAATTCACCCAATTTTTCCAACATTCAACTAAGTTTTTTTTTAACAGTTCTAACAGTCAATTGAATTTGGTTATTTTTTGTCATGTGACATCGAGTTTAACACGAATCAACATTACAATACAATGAACATTTTTGGCGGTTCTCGAACACCCAATTATATTTGGTTTATTTGTTTCATGCGATACAAATTACCCAATTACGTCTAAATTTAATTGTAAATTTCTTGACAGTTGTTCTAACAACTAATTAAATTTAGTTATTTCTGTCTTTATTTCTTGTACATATTATGACACAATTAAAAAGGCTTTACCAGCCAATCTAATTTAATTTATTTTTTATTATGTAACACAAATCATTCTATTAATCATTTCAGCATTTAGCTGGAATTATTTGACAGTTCTAACTCCCAATTAGATTTGGTTATTTTCTGTTATAGACACAAATCAGCAAATCATTTGAACTTTCAACTGATTTCAGCAAATCATTTGAACTTTCAACTTATTTTTTTTTGAAAGTTCTAACAGCCGAACAAAGGACATGGCACTAAATATTAGAATCCTAGTGATCGGCCGATTTTTTTAAAACTGCAATATATGTTACTCTATACCTGAAAACAAGCATTTCTGCTTATGGTCACTTCTTTGTACGAGTATGGGATGTCCCAGAAAATTGAGTTCAAAGTTTTTATATGAAACTTTTTCTTCAAGCATAAACTTATGTTTAACCGTTGTCAGAGCTGGGAGTAACGACAAAAAATAGTTACTTTACTTTAACGAGTTACTAAAAGTAATGCGTTACTTGGTAACTTCGTTACTTTTCAGATTGATTGATAAGTAACTGTAACGACGTTACTTTCCTGAAGTAACGCTGGAAGTAACGCGTTACTAGTTACTATGAAAGTAACTCGTTCTCTTAATTTGTTTATCTTCTTTACAAATAATTGACGAGTGAGGAAAAGAAAAATAAGTAATCCAAAAACTTTGTATGTCAAATAAAATGTGGTTAGTACAGAAAATTTGTTTTGAAAGCTCAAAATAATCGTTTTTGGGCGTGCCAGGCGCCACCTCTGCTCTAAAGACACTTTATGCAGACACTGGGACGCTTCAAAGAGCAGGTTTGTCCAGAACCAAGTGCTCTAAGGTCTGTTTCCACAGGAGTCTCCGACAGTTTACAACCTGTCAGAAACAATCGCTCAGCTGAGTTACAGATTGATCTTGGAACGACAGCATTGAAAACATGTATGGGCGATTCTTACTGACAGTTTGCAAACTGTCAGAGACTCCTGTGGGAACAGACCCTTAGTCGCTTAATCCTTAATCCGTTTGAATTTTGCAAGAATACTCTTCCGCAGTCGGACTTACAAACTAAAAACATATTGGCATTTTGTATAGGTCTAATTTGATTGTTTGGACTGCTGTGTTGGTGAGTCAAATTAAAGAATAACGCAATTTTCGACGTAAATAATTATTTTTGAAGTAACGCGTTACTTTAAAAGTAACGAACTACTTTTAAAGTAAAAAAGTTACTTTCAAAGTAAAAAAGTTACTTTCAAAGTAAAGAAGTTACACTAACGCGTTACTTTCCAATAAATAACGAAAATAAAGTTATCATTATTCGAAAGTAACTGTAAATTTTAAGTAACGAATTATTTTTGAGCAAAAGTAACTGTAAAGTAACGCGTTACTTTTTTCAAGTAACGATCCCAGCTCTGACCGTTGTTTAACTGATCTGTTATGTGATTTTGCAACTTATACATTAAAGACAAAGCTATTTATGTAGTTAAGGACAAAAATTATTATACAGGGTGTCTCAAAAATTATATTTTAAACCAAACTACTCTCTAAAGAAAGCCAATAACCAAAACAACTGCTAAAAAACTATAATAACCTAAAATATCAATAATAACTAGAAACATTGTAACAATGATCACCAGAGACTGTTTGAAGTAGCTGCTGTTCCTTGGAAACGATTTGGATTTAATACTGTAGAAATAGGTCAACAAATACAAAAATATGCCATATAGGCCCGCAGTATCACAATTGGTGGTAACCTTGTGGTAACCTGCACTGGCTATCGGACTCATATTTACGGGTTGACTACATGGAATATTCTGAAGCTTGACCAAAGGTTTCGGCTAAACCGATACATCAAACATTTAATATAAAAACTTTGAACTCATTTTTTTTTAACCGTAATTTTGGTTATTGGCTTTCTTTAGAGTGTAGTTTGGTTTAAAATAAAATTGTTGAGACACCCTGTATAATAATTTTGGTTCTTAACTACATATATATACAGTGGCGTAGCCAGTAGGGGGGCAGGGGGGGCGACGGCCCCCCCCGCCCCTGTATGTGCGGCGCCCCTACCGCTCTTAAAAGACAAAAGCAAAAATTAAGAAATTATAAAATTACATTCTTTCTTATTTATTTTGTTAACCTCTTCATAGTCTTCACCCTTTATTCTTGTTCGTAAGTCGTTATTGTGGGCAAATGCCTGATATTTATTTATTTTCATTTCAGTTTCTGATCTGTTCTATTACCTACATTTTTTTTTTCTGAAAAAAAATTATTATGAATTTCAATATATTTATTTGTTGATTAAACTAGAGGTTTTGGTTAATGGATTGAGTGGGGCTGTCATTCTTCCGGATTTCCCCGGATTTGTTCTAGTTCTGAAGGTGTCTGAAGTCGTCCGGGATGATTTTTTGAAGTAATCCGTGTCTAACGGCATGTCCACACATTATTTTCTTCAAGGCTTAAAATAAATGTGTTTCGCACCCGAAAAAAAATTGCTTTTGAAGGCTTAAAATAAACTTTTTTAAGCGTGACATCCGGGAAAATTTTTCGCCTCCGGCGGCGCCTGCGTCCGGCTTTTCGTCTCATATTATTTTCCCCCAATAAGCAAATTTTACAAAAGCAAACAAACAATTTATTATCCGCCACCCCTTTCCACCGAAAAGAAAAAAAATTCGAGGCGCCCCCATATATCTTTGCTCCCCCCGCTCCGTGAGGCTGGCTACGCCACTGTATATATATTTGACTTTAATGTATAAGTTGC